TTTTTAGCTAATTCTAATTATAGTAATTTTGCGCCGTTGCAGATTTTTCGAAACGTTACTATTACTGCGCTTGTTGCAAGTTTTTCGAAACACCGCTATTTCCTGCGTTTGTTGCGGGTTTTTCGAAACGCCGCTATTACTAATTTAACTTTGTATTACTGAGCTAAATTTAATGGAAGATTTTACCATGTGACTTACTTATCTGATTCATCAGATCAGCTTGCCGTAACAATATTATTAATTCGTATCAATGTCTCAAATTTATATGTATGACACCCAAACATGATTTTTATGTGGCAGAATAAGTGCTTTATTATTAGTAAAAATATCCAAGCAAACTACATTATTGTTGACATGCTTAATTGTGTTACATTTCTAGTTAAAAATTCAATTAGACTAGTTCTTTCAGAGGAAGCCAGATAGCAAACAAAAATGAGCTTTTCTAAATTACTTTTATACATGGAAGATGACACACAATGTATCACATTACATGATTTGCTTCTCGACAATGACAGTTTGTCAGTGAATAGCCTTGATTAGACACACACATATTTGATAGAGACTGTCTATCATACAATCAAATTGCTATAACACAAAAGAATACAAGAACGACGTAGATACTAAATAGAAAGGAGAGTAAAGAATAAAAGCGTAGTACCTTTTGAAAAACTCGACTTAGTATCATCAGATAATCTAATTGTTTGTGTTTTTGTTTATCATCATATCAGTAAACAAATACAAAATATCAAATGAGATTTATCATATTGGTATAAACCCAACAGACAGCATGCTCAGCGGGTTTTGGGAGATATTTCAGAAAGCTTCCACATGCATATATTGTGATTGACCCTCTTCTCTCATTAATGATAATTTATTCTCTTCAGCAAGAGTTTTCTCGTCAATGCTTTCCATAAGGGCTTCTTCATTTGATTCATCAAACAAGAATGCCAACCCTTCATAATCTGTATAATCCAATTGATTGTCCAATTTCTGTTTCGAATTATTATGAGCTTGTCTTGAACCAGTGCTTTTCTCTACTGAAAATAATGATCGTTCTTTCTCATTCCCCTATAAAATATTTCATTTGTGATGAGCAATTTCAAAACAAAACAATGCACACAATACTCTGTATAAATAGTTACTTCAGTGTAATCACCATCCTTTTCATCTTTTTCACCATCAACATAATCAACCAGAGAACCTACATTTAAGGTTTTCAAAAATAAATTTGACCCTAGTCGTAAATCTTTCACAATAAAACTTGTATTACTTTCTTACCTATAGAATTGTTCAAGCTGTCAATAAAATTTAATCTTTGATTATTTAATAATTTGTGCACTTTGTTCCCTGCCACTGAATGTTCTACTACAAACTCGGCCTCAGATAAGAAAAATAACAACAAAATTAATAAGGCTTTTGCAAATATGTGTATCCATGGTATCATAGCCTTGTTAGTTTTATATCCATGTCCTTCTGCTTTAGTTCAGTTTCTTCTCCAGAATCGCATTTGACAATTTCTGAGATTTTTCCAGATCAACCTCCAGCCAGAATGCTCTAACATTTTCAGTTTGTGCTTGATCCTTAAGAGAAATGTAAGAGTTGAGTAGAAACAGAAGTTGAAAAATATATTCAGGCTCTCCCGAATTTGTTGTTACAATAAATCTTGTAATTTTGTATGGAGCCCACCGGATATAATAACCCATTCCTAGCCCGATGCATAACCAGGCCACTTAGGTGGTTGTTTTGACATAATAGTCCAACCCCATACAGATTTGGAAGAAGCCCACCGGATATAATAACCCATTCCTAGCCCGATGCGTAACCAGGCCACTTAGGTGGTTGTTTCGACATAATAGCCCAACTTCTTCCAACTACCCTTTGCATCTAAACATCAAAATAAATACTTGCCCTTAGTATTAGAGCTTTATTAAGAATGGAAGTAGATTTCCTCCACCTTTCGTCTGCTGTGTTCGTTGTGACGTATGACAAAAACTTGGATATCGTTAAATGTTCGGTGTGCTTATCAAAAGAGAAGTCATCTTTTCCTCGACGAAAATTTAGGACGGAAATGAGGCTGAGACTTTCGGGATCCAAGTCCGTTTCCCAACCCTCAAACTGTGGTTATAGTTTACCATTTTTCAAGGAAAGAAAAGGTGAAATACAGGGGATCAAAAGCAAATATTTAAAACTTCCAGCTGTTCAATGCTCACTTTCTTTTCGAAAACGGTGCCATTTGTTTTATCGTTATTAGTTCTGACGGTGGACATTGTATACTTAGAGAAAATTTTTTTGGGGAGATACAGTATATACAAGTGAAACTCGTTAAGACGAAACCACGCTAAGCCGAAATTGCATTAAGCCGAGGTTTTTCTGGTTTACCAAATTTTTATTATAGCGTAAGCCGGAATTTATTAGTAATTTACGTTAAAAGATAAGCCGAAAGTTTTCGAACAACCGACAATAATAATTTTACCGAAGTTGTCACGTGAAATTTGTATTGATTGGTTCATTTCTTGAATGTAATGTCACAATTCCTGCTTTTATATGTTAGTCAGTGACAACGAACTCAACGTTGATATTACTTTCTTATCTAACTTAAGAAAATAATTGAGACTAAACATCAGAACACGTTACAGCAAACAAGTATTCTTCGTTTTACCATTAATTAACAAAGTTTATGCTGTTGAATTGTAAGTCGAAAATTTGTGCAAATATATATATAAATTCGGCTTAGTGTGAAATTTGGTAAAGCGAAAATCTGGATAAGCCGAATAAATTGGCTCTTCGTCTTATCGAGTTTCACTTGTACTGTGAATCTCGTGATATAATGAATAGTCATTCGTGTGACTAACATGAAACATGGTTTTTGTTAATTACCGAGTTTAAAAAATCACAATAAAAAGGCTCAGATACATCGAACTGCATGGGAGGGAATTCACTGCCCCAAGGCATTTTATAATGTGAACCCCTATTCTCTCGTTCGACGATTACTAAGCCCATCACTGTTCTCTGTTTTGCTACCCATAAGCGGAGTGAATCTAATGTATCTTTCGGAATTTTTGAAAATTTTCTAATGGTGGATTCACCCCCTTTTTATGATTTGTGACGAGTGTCCTTATTTCTTCAGCTGCCATTGGATATAACCTCGCCATAGACCGCTTTTCGCGGTTTTTCTTCTCCTTGAACAATTCATCGATTTCCTCCCAGAGTTCGGAAATGTTACCAGTATAATTTTGAGGCGTTTTAGACGTGCCAGATCCGGCATTACTCCCTCTTGTGACGCCATCTCGGACCTCACGAATTGAAAAAGAAATCTTTGGCTCTCATTGAATACGCATATTGTTATAAATCTTTCAACAAAGCAGGTACAAGTGAAACTCGATAAACCGAAGGTCGGGGCAGGGACAATTTATTCGGCTTATCGAGAGTTTCATTTTATCAAATTTCGCAATAAGCCGAATGTATATATAGTTTACACAAGCTTTCGGCTTATAACAACACTATATATAAACTTTATTAATGATAAAATGCAAGAATACTCGTTTGCTGTAACATATTGTATTGTTTATTCTCAATCGTTCTCTTTAACTTTTTTAGAAAGCAGTATCAACTTGAAGCTCACTATCACAATCTTGAGTAATATACAGAAGCAAAGAATTAATACAAAGAGATTATTTTTCAAGGCCAGTCAGCGTCTTTCGGTTTACTTTTTTCTCTACTGTTTTATTTCTTGAATCGTTTAAACATTTGAAGAGCCACTTGTTGAACTTTCTCCACCATCGTTCATTCTGAATATTAATCAAATGAAAGAGCCAACAAAACCACTTCTTAAGCTCTGAATTTTAAAATTACGCTTCTACTGGACCATAAGCAAACTCAGCAGACAATACTTCTTAGCGGCTTAACACTTACAGTAAGTAACCATTACTCCTGACAATTTAAGAGACAATAAATAAAGGTTGCACGAGGCAACCTTTTCTCCTTTCCAAAAGTCTCAAGTCTCATCAATATATTCACCGTTGATCTCTCCAAATCAATAACAGACGTTGTATACGTTTCCTAGATAAGCACCACGCACTTGCCATCCATCAAACATTTAGTCGTGTAAGCAAAACTTTATTACGTCAATACTCTATCAATCAAGGCAAATTAAATCACGTATTCTTTTTATCCCTGGAAGTAGAATATTTATCACACTTGCATGTTTACGATTCCTAAGCTATAAAATATGAATAAACATATTACTTAATTAACTATCTTTTTATCAAGTTGTTGCGATAACGAAACCATTTCTTATATCGTCTAAAATGGCTGATGTTATTTTTGTACTTGTGTATCCATTTCGGCAAATGCCCATATTAAGAGTTCTCATCAGCGCCGCCTTTAAATATTATTTGATCTCAAAATCACATGACGCTTGGTCACCCGACAGTCCTGATCGCAACTCATTTCTTTTGTATTCTTTTGTACATTGAGTCAAGCCTATTCCCGATTCGATTTTCAAGCAATTACTCAATTAAAACGTCAATTTTGACCGTCGAGATAAAGAACCTGGATCTATTGTAGAAATGCATTCTATTCATGTCACATGCATCGACAATGTTCGCACTCAGGAATTCTGTTATCATTACGTTTTAGTAACTAAAGGGGTAATCTTCTACCAAAATCCAATGTGTTTCCCTTTAAGGAAAGAGGCTGATCATTGCAACAACGTTTTACCGAATCGCGCGTTCCAAAGTTGGCATATTCATGGGCAATTAGAATGCTTTATTTTCTGTGGCCATCTTTTTTCGTTATGTTTTAATTAGGTCAGCCATAACAGCAAATTATAATAAAGTGTACAATGGAATATGTTAATTATTATATATTTTAAAAATCCACTCAGTCCTTCGCTACAATATCGTTCGCCTGATCCGATCGTGGTTCAGGTGACTCTTCATCTGTTGGCTTTCTAGGCTGTGGGTCTGATTCCGGGTATATGTGATAGACAATAAGGCCTCCTATTGACATGATATACGCAAGCGGATACAACCCATGCATCTACAAGTACAAGCAAAAGTATGTTGAGTTAAAAAGAAAACGGCTATTAATGAAATTGACAGATAACAACAGGACCGATGCGTACCTTTTGGTCAAAGAGAAACAGGGCGAATATCAATCCATAGAAATCGCTCGTAATAAGCGAAAGATTAAAGAATGTCGCCGAGGAAATACGGAAAAGTTGAGGAGCTCCGGTGTAGAGACAGAACATTGCAATGTTAAACGCGATGAGAAGGCCGACTAAAAGCATAATAGAGATCGACAGAGAACAAATTAGTATTCACGCCTTGGGTGCGCACATTATGTTTGATAATAAAACGCGTCTTCTCCTCCTTTTCAACCCGACTTACCGATACGACCATTCCAATGAGTATTTTTTAATTCATCTCGTTCCAGTATAGCCCTATAAGCACGAGAATAGATGAATAAACACCAATCGGTTTAACCCGTCTTATGCGCATCAACATAGTTTTTTACTCACAACTGAATTCCATTGATAATAGTTGCGAAAAAGCCCAACTGACCAACGACTTCATACAATGGATACTTTCTAACTAAATACTGTTCTCCGACATTAGAAAATCCATACAAGGTTGAACCGAGTAGCAGGAATAGATCTCCCTTTAACATATCAGTGTCTATAGGGATAAAAAATTGGTAGAAATGTGAAACCCTGCTAACATGTACGCTCATATTGTTGATGTTATCATCGCAAGCCTACTTACACGGAGTAATTATATCCTTATTATTATTTATATCACCACGAAGCAAAACACCGATTCCGCCAAAGCACAAAAGTGCGCCTAGATACTGGCTCCAGTGGTACCTCACTCGGAAAAATACCATCAAAAGAATCATGCATACAATCGTCGACCAATTGTCGAGCAACATTGCTGATAGAAGAGAGGTATATTGGTATGCTTTGACGACAAAGTAATTACCCTCGACGTCTATTAAGGCTAGGATGGCATCTAAGATAAAACCAATGGGGAGTATATCGTTAGATTATTGAATCGTGGAAAAAAAAAAAAAAAAACAACTTTTTTTTGTAATGTTATTATTATCACAAGTGCAGCTTTGATTTTATAAACCTGAATTCTCCCTCCACATCCCAAGTCATGCCAACCCGGGATTAAAATAACACTTACACATCCATCCTCTATTTTTCAATATTTTCAACCATCCTTTCCACCCCGCTTTCCAAATAGTGATGCTTGTATATACCACATTCAACACTAGATAATTTAAACAGCTCTGGGTTGTAGGGAAATTAACGCCTTCATTGACAGCCAGTTCTGTGTTCGTTACTGTAGTGGCGGTAATGCATAATGAAAGGAATTGCCCAAGCAAAAGAATAATCAAGAACTTTTTCGTAAATATGAAAGAGAATTTCGAGTCAGACTTTTCATCAACTGATTTCTCCATTGTGTTAATTGAGTGAATGAGCAAAAATTATGACCAAGACAAATTCGTGAAGCGACAGAATTTCCTTTTGCTAATATATCTAACTTTTACACGGGGACCATCAACAGTGAAGAGGAGGTCGGATCGCTCGCATGACTCGATTAGTGGCATATATATAGACGGCTTGAACACTATCAGCTTGAACACTATCAGCTTGTACACAGTTCATGTAGTACCTTTGCCCTCCTAAGAATGGGAAATCGTCTGAATAATATTAACATTAACATGGTTTACACAAAAAACTTTTTCTCGATTAGAATGAAGATCAAAAAAATCTTGGATGACATAACCCCATTTTCAGGTCTTTTTCTGGAATCTGTCCTACATTTGTGGGCATCATCTGATGATAATCGCTCCCTTATGTAAATTGCAAACCAACATTCTTATATAGCCACCTTACCAAATTAAACCCTTCTGGTCAGGGTAGTTTTGACTCGACAAAATGTCAGTCGTCAAAGTCTCCTTGGACACTTAGAATAAGAATCGAAGCATAGAAATATATTCGTTTACTTGTATCTTGTCCTACTTCGATGGCTTGTGTCGCGTTCCATCATTAATTACGGGTAACCCTTCAACATCTATAAATGGGCAGGTTCGAAAGTTAACAGATTATCATGTTGAAAATAAGATTTAATTTGTTGCTGCATGTTTTCAGGTACATATGGGTCTGGAAGCCTGACCACAAAGTTAAAGTTTATATGATACATGTACCACACAATGTTGATTCTCACGTTAACCGATGCAAGCGGGCGGCGCTTCTTGTGCACAATCCAAATGAGAAAGTATTTTAAACTTCTATGCTCTTTACATTTCTACAACAATGAATTGTAATGAAATAATCTGTTATGTTTTGTTTGTTCGGCCTACCAGAATGGTAATGCAACATACTCAACATCTTAATAAATGAGCTATGCATTGTTCCCTGACAAAGTCATCGTAATGTAATACATGAACCCTTCCAGTATTCCACAAGTTAAGTCACCTGACCGCACATCCAAAACATTTAAGAAGAGACAACTATCGACTTGATGATGTTATCGGCCAACCATGTGTCTTCCAATCTGTTCTCTTGAAAACCTTCATGTTAGTGCTCCATTGAACATCCTTTCACAGTTTTGTTTTTAATATCAGACGTTCTTTATTCTGGCCCTATTTCCACCGCCCCGATGTTATCAACTGTATCGATTATGTCATCCGCTTGTGTTAGATGATGACAACGGCAGTATCACCATTGTAAAGGGGTGTGAGTTTTTGAGATGACAAAATCAGTATCGATAATAAGCAACGTATTTTAATTTACTCAATGGCTTTGTTTTAATACTACTTAAACCACTAATTTGGTCTACAAACTTAATACTAAACATTAATTCGCATATTAATATCAATGTAATTTATACAAATTATTCTATCTATTACTATTTACTCTTTATATTTAGCCTCATTAAAGAATTTTGGATATCATTGACAATACTCCGTAATAGTAATTATGTCACAAGTATGATTTCATCTGTGTACCTAAACTGATGAGACTAGGTGACTCTATAATAGGTGGACTATCTGAAAAAACAAGTATGGTGATCATGTTTGTACGGTCGTTCGATTGACTATGATATTTGAGACAAATTCATTAAAACTTTATTCAATGAACTTTAGAGTGTCGAACAATGCAACGAGCTCTGCTGAATAGAAATATAAATGCAGGGGTTGTAAACATCAGAATTAGCCTGAAAAGAAGGTGACACAGTTTAATTTTGCGTGTGGCTTCAAAGGAATGTAAGGTGGGTAAATTACCAGTAATTCAATTTTGTTATTTTTAATAATATTATTAATTAGCAATATTATGAACAGTGTGGGATCTCTGATAACATAAGTTTACTATCAAATATATTTGCTTTATCAGTATTTAATTGCATTATTAGTTCTGAGATTAATGCAGCAATGGGAAATTAACGATTAAATCACGCCATTACTGCAAGTATCAACTGTGTGTCAGCGCTGCAGCGAAGTCTATTTTCGCGACTATCAACCAATTGACATATCGTATTAAGAGAGGAAAATAATTCGTAAGCATCGCGCTATGCAAAAGTCTAAGATTACGTGTAGAATTGACTATATTCACTAGTACAGTACTAGTAGTATTACGTTAGTGTCGGTATGGAATGTGACCATTCTGAATTTTGCTCATTGACATTACTTGCTTTGGTTTCATATTGACGCATTCTTTACGAATGGTCATAAGTCTTTCCTGATGCTGTCAACACTGCCTGAACACCACATGCTACTTCACTATAACACATCACCTTCTTGACAACCGTCATGATAGCACATGACAATTTCAATTTTTTATTGCCGCTTCAATATTCTAGATTCATCCCATGAGATGCCTATCAGATTATGCAAATAAAATTCCGAGATCAATACTGATACTGAATTCTATAATATTGACTAATGCTTGTCCGAAAATAACTTGAAATTGTATTTGTAATTTAGCAGTACTGCCATTTTAGAAGCATGCCCAACATCGTATGTCTACAAGTTGTAGTCTCGTCAAGAGTTGGATTGACTATAGATTCTGGATATAGCTTTCTTATTTCAACAGAGCCCTTATTTGTGGTAACAGCTATTTGTCTACATGTTAACTGTTACTGCTCTTTACATTATATACGCAAACAGTGTTCAAAGTTACTCGATCTCAACGTTCCGTAGTCGAATCGAGAAATAACTTTATTTGGTGAGTTTGGAAGAAATAAATAACTTGCGTGAATTGTTTACATGTCTGCTGTAATATTTCATTATTCGTAGTCCATTTATATTACATTAATCTTGGATTGTCCTAATCGTCCTCGTCCTCGTCTTCTTCAGGAGAGGATTCTTCTACGGTTACCCGATTATCATTAATAAATATATCATCTTCTTCATCAGCACCTTCCGATATTCTGTATAATTAGTGGATGGTCAATCACATAGCTAGTTAGGATAACAGTAGTACCAAAGCATTTAATTCTTCTAGTTCCCATATACACGCATACAAGCGTCCTGTTTAAATCCATGAAACTATTCTGACAGAATGGCTTGCTTACCGTGGCTCCTCTTTTGTTGCCTCTTGGCTAGAATCAAATTCTTTAGGCCTAATATATAAACAAACCAATAATATGGTTCAATTTACAACGTCAATAAGTAAATATCAGCAGATTAATCAAACACATTACCAAATGCTCTCTGCTCTTAATTGTTTGATGTGCTCATTCAGAAGGACATGCACGATCTCTGCTCCAATTTTATTTTCTCCTTCGACCGGTAGTACAATAACATAGCCGCCTTAATGCATAGATATGATGGCGATTACTAATATCGGAAAACGGACGCTTGATGGATGTTCTGCCCTTACCTCTCTTAACCCAAACAACGTTTCTGAATCTGGGAGGAAGTGTCGCAAGCGTGGATGTACCATCAATCAGTTGAATTTCATACAGATGCTTACCTCTCCCACCAAGCACCCGTGCTATTTTCTCCTCGGGAGTTGGATATGGTGTATTATAAAGAAGTTGGCGTGCTGATTTCTGCCTCCGCGACATGTTGAATTGATCAAACTGCTTGACAGAAATTCCAAGTTTTTTGATCTACAACTGTTCACGTGATATTTGTATTGTATAACGTCACATGCTTATGCTGTAATTAAATACTGAAATAATACTAATACGTTTAATCGGTAGATTTATTATTATTGTTATCAACAATATAAATCAGGTGTTACATGCATTAAAAAACAGACTTATTATAACAACAAACACATTAAACTCTTGTCGTATCCTAACAATTATAGAATTTCTAGGCTCTATACGAATAAAGTCTCGCTTATTTATATCCGTATTTCAAGCAATCGTATGATAGAAACTTATGAGATGTTTAATAGAATAAATGCGTCTCTAATTATTTACCTTGTCATTTTATCATCTAATCACGCATATAAGGGCGATATAAGACAAGTATAAACGAAGGATACAGTACAGATTGTTATGGCGTATATATAAGTAATTTATTCCTTCATGAGTAAAACAAGGTGTAGGTGCTTGCTGTTCTTCTTCTGCTTGACTTATAATAAAAAGTAAACATAATAAACAGACGAGACTTATAACTTTTAAAGACAATTTACTAAATTCAGGGGAAAAAAATCACCAGTAAAATGGACTTTAATAAGATATCTTGAAGAAAGCAAGCTACTAAAATTAATCTATAAAATTGGCGACGTTAAATAATCACGTCAGCAAACGTGCTGATGACTTTTAAGGGGAGGTTAATATACGTGTATACTGCCATATTTTAATAAAATTACATTTCCCTTAGGCAAAACGTAAACATAAATGTATGCGAATTAATAAATTGCTAGTTCAACCGTTATTAATGGTACAACTATTATTAAACGGATTTAGATGTAATGGCACAACTCGCGTTCAATAATCGACTCTGTTGGCTATGATAATAGCATTGAAGGAGGAGTAATTCGCATGCGTTGTTGTATACAATAAACTCGAAATATTAAATACTGGATAATTAATTATCCTCCATATTAAAATCGGTACAAGCTAATTTTGATTCAGCGACTGGTTACGGTACTTACAACTAGAGCTGAGTTTTACGGCAATAGTTCATAGTTTATACACCATGGTACACTCTTTCTTATTTCTCTTGAATGTAAACACAATAATTGTTGAAAATGTTCTTTTGAGATGAAAAACGGTTTACTCAACTATGTCGTTAGTTAATTATAATCCAGCACTCGTCAACTTAGTTCACCGTACAAAGCAAACGCACAGAAATATTATCTAATAAGATGCTAGGGTGGATTATGCCTGGCATGTACAAGCAATTAGAACTTAAGATACATGCATTTTGTTATCGATGTAAATTACCGAGACCACTTGATTGGACTAATGGAAGTGAAGATGCAGATGGTGGAGTTTGTACATTGCGACGAGTTGAGAATGGATTGGATATGGAGTCATGGAGTAATGTAAAGTATGGCGACTTTTATGAATTCAAAGAGATCGGATCTGGTGGTTATGGAACAGTTTATACTGCAAGTATTCAGGAGGAAAACGTATTAGTATGCCAGAAACTGATCAGACGCCGGAATTATTTGATATAACTAACGCGATATTTAGTCTGAGGAGGAAATTACAGTATTTGAGGGATATTGCATGGTATCTGAAAATATTCGTGGTGCAGGATTAGTGCATTTTGCATAAATGTGTGTCTGGGTCAAAAAAAAAGTTCCAATCAAGTCAACCACTCATATGCGATCTCAGTCAGTGAACAAATTCAACCATTCGAGGTGTTTCATCTTTTATTGCACCGGAAGTCTTTCATACATGCAGAAATCAGACATACATTCTTTTGGTATTATTATGCATTTAATTGCCACTAGTGAGCCATCTTTTCGAGATAGAGAATTCGATAGAGATTTAGTATGTGATATCATGGATGGACTACGACCATTGATGCCTGATTCAGCACCAGAAGACTATAAAAAATTGCTGACATATTAAATGCCGTTTATTATAATGATGTAACGTCTCGAGAAGTAGAGTCAGGGGAGTATTAATGGAGGTAGTTTGGATTTAGTGGTGGCAGTTACAAAGACAACGTTCATATAAGCAAAGTCAATTTGCAAATATTAACACCGCTCACTGTCTTATGATTTAGTGACTAATTCTTTTTTATTTATAGTTTATACGAGTTTTAAGTTAAAGAATTTGATTAGTTTCTACGTGCTGTAGTCCGGTACACAACTAGCAACAATAAAGCAACTCGATGAGTTTATTAAGAATCTCAAATACAAACAAACCCGGCGAATGAAACCTATTTGGCATTGTACACATAATACAAAGTATGAACATTTTCTACAAGCTTCCGATCTGTGTGACATTAGTCATAATTCACGTGATTCCAGATATTAAGTTAATTTTAGCCAATTCCGCATCATTGTAACCCCGCAGTTAAAGAAGGTTTCTTTCCAAAAAACTTGGCTTGCCCGTCATTCCGATTTCTCTTACGTCTTTGACATTAGCTTTTCGTTTGCTATTACTGACTTTGCCAAAATTACTTTATGAAAAATACCAGCATGACACACACTGATCATGACAACCTTATGGAAAACGGGCATTACCAGCAACAACACCAGCTTCAACAACAAAACCCATTACAACAGCCGCAAGCACCGGTCACTTTTGAAGATAGTTTGTTGAATATATTGTATGACAACGTGTTCTTTTCGTCGCGCGAAGAGTCGGCATATTCACCGCAGTACTCACTAGCGTCTTTTGATACCCAGGAAAGTCTCTTCGGTCATAGTCATGCCAACTACATTCAGATAAATGGAGACAACTTGTATGAAAAAACGGGAAAACTTTTGTCGAATGCACTATCCAGTAGGGCTGATGCTGAAAATAATTGGAAATATTCTTCAGCATTCTCGGATGATACTCGACACATGGGGTTTGTTCGTGCCCTACTGACGCATAATATAAAAGGTGATTTCCGTTTACATCCGTATGGTGATGATATTGATAGCTCAGACACTAGCAGCCACGATGCAGATATATTTCCTTCAGCAGATACAGTAGAGCAGGATGCAGCATCCCAATTACCAGACTTTTCAGACGAACATGACGATACTGATGATGTAATATCTCGTGAGCGAGATATTACTAACAATGCAGTAGGTAAAGATAAAACTGACAATAATGTCATTAAAGAGAATGAGAGAAAGAGTCGTTATGGTCGTCGGCGTCGATCTCGCGTTAAACGACTTCAAAATGCAAGAAACCCGCAAAGCAAGGAGCCAAAATGAACGGCGTGTCAATATAAGATTGCTGTCAATATTGTTGTTCCATTCAATTTGTCTTATGTAATATTAAATACTTTGTAAAAATATCAGTATAGATGGAGGGGCTGATCCGGGTTCTTGTTAATTATGGTGAGAGCGAACATTTGTGTATTAACAAACATTTGTGAAGTTGGAGAACAATTACATCAAGTCTTAGAATAACAACAAACAAAATCTACAAAGAATTATTATTAGCGTTAAATGAGAAAGCGTTTTCTATACTGGCTGTACGATTTAATAAAGCCCTTGACACAATTTGCATATTCGTTTAAATATTTTTGACATTAATCAAAAAATTTGTGTTTCACAATGAACGTGATCACAATTTTTAACAAAGATTAACATGATCAATGATTGCTCCTCCTCTTTCCCAATCCCATCGAGGAACCATGGTGGGTATAGTTTAAGACTAAAATGAATCCATCCATATCAACATGCATTAACACAACCACCTTTAAACAGTCTCATCGAAAATTTGAGGCCCCACGAAACGGTAATTCATAATTATTTGGTGGAAATGGAAGTTTATAGGATTCCGAACAGCAGAGGTGTTAACCGCTCATATAGACGGTTTTCCGTCTGTATTGAACCTTCTGAGCGCTAATCATACGACCTGCAAATGGGCCTGCAGTTGCCGTGCAGCCAAGACACTATAACCGAATGTCTGCATTAAAACATCTTTGATTAATAGACGGCCTGTTTTTGTAGGTTCACTTGGATTCTTACCACGAAAGCGTGCACGCAGACATCGTGGTAAGGTCAAGTCCTTCCCAAAGGATGACAAAAAGAAACCAGTGCATCTGACCGCTTTTATGGGATACAAGGCGGGCATGACCCATGTTGTTCGAGACTTGGATCGACCCGGATCAAGTGAGTAAATAGATTTTTGCTGCCAACCTCTTGTGAATAGCTCTTGCACAAGCTTTTACATTAGCCAGTTATGTACTATGACAGCTATACATGTCATTCGATAAATTTATTCCTTAATTCTCACGATAAAATTTTCTTAAATCAGAGATGCACAAGAAGGAAATCGTAGAGGCCGTAACTATCATAGAAACTCCTCCAATAGTAGTCGTCGGAGCTGTTGGCTATGTAGAGACTCCTCGTGGCCTTCGTACGCTAACGACTGTCTGGGCCGAGCATTTGTCAGATGAATTGAGACGCCGCTTCTACAAGAATTGGTACAAGTCCAAGAAGAAGGCCTTTACTAAATACGCTAAAAAGTACGCAGATGGTGTAAAGCCAATTGACCAGGAACTGGCTAGGATCAAGAAATATTGCCAAGTTGTGCGTGTGCTTGTCCATACGCAAATTTCCAAGGTGCACATCAAACAGAAGAAGGCACACTTGATGGAGATTCAATTGAATGGAGGCACAGTCGCAGACAAGGTTGAGTGGGCTAAGAAGAATTTCGAGAAGAAAATTGATATTAAATCGGTATTTGAACAAGACGAGAACATCGATGTTATCGGAGTGACGAAAGGAAAAGGATTTGAAGGTGTTACGCACAGATGGGGTACTAAGAAGTTGCCGAGAAAGACGCACAAGGGTCTTCGTAAGGTTGCTTGTATTGGTGCTTGGCATCCGTCAAGGTATATACCGTGGCTTGGGGTCAAGGATGTCGATATGTTACAATTGTCTGCTCTGCTTAATGACTTGGTTTTTTTTTATAGAGTGATGTATTCTGTTCCACGTGCTGGTCAAAATGGATATCATCATCGAACAGAGATCAATAAGAAGATATACCATATTGGTATAGGTGAAGATAAAGCTAATGCGTCAACCGAATACGATCAGACAGAAAAGACGATTACTCCTCTTGGAGGATTCCCCCATTATGGTATCGTGAACGAAGATTAGTAAGTATTTTGTTTCGTTAATCAACCGATGGTGTGGATTTAGAGCATTTTCAGTAACCAGACATGTATATATTCTCCTAGCATCATGATTAAGGGAGCGTGCGTCGGTGTTAAGAAGCGTGTCTTAACGCTAAGAAAGTCTCTCGTCATTCATAGCAAGCGATCCGCTTTAGAGAAAGTTTCACTCAAGGTCAGTATACAGCAAACGAGTGCGTGTTGGCAATGTTCCTTCGTAAATGCAGATCTACTAACGCTTATCATATCCTCACTGTTTGGCATCTATACAATCTTGACTTTTTTTCATTCGATATTGTTTATATAGTTCATCGACACGAGTTCGAAATTTGGACATGGCCGTTTCCAAACAGCTCAAGAGAAGCATGCCTTTTTGGGAACCCTCAAGAAAGACGTTACCGCCGCTTAGGGCAAAATTTTATTTACAGTTATATTTTAATTATCAAAATCTGGGAAATAAATGCATGCTTTAAACGACTACTGTTTGTAGAGTTAAATGGTGTATGTAAAACCTGTTGAAGAGCAGCGAGTCGAGATGATTAAGCATTTTGTAAAGACAGATAAACTGTCTGTTGAATAACATGATGTGATTCAACTTACGTTAGCTTACCTGGTATAGCATTCGCTTCTCACTATGTGGACATTAATTACGTACTAAGATTATTTACAAAAGCATCAAGGGTCATTCCCCCAAGAATAACCAAAGTCCGTGTTAGCCTCAAATCGAAGGATCGTAGGTGCAACCCTTCGCCTGATTATTACGAACTGTATTTAGCAATGTGAAGCGCTTTCTATCTCATGCACTTAGCGATCTGTATGTTGATACTTAATCTGGTTTGGCAACAATTTAAGATTCCAAGTACTGTATTCGACAATTGGGTCTCGTAAAAAATTAATGCTTCATGTAACTCGGTAAACCAAACTTAAGCGTCGTGTTCAAACATTTTAAATGTTAAAAATCATGTTAAAAGAAATATTCTGTGAAAATTTGGTGTACAATGCTTTCTAAATTGTCCTCTAATTATATCTACAGGAGAAAATAACTATGGACAAGACATCGGCGCTGGTGGTGGGCGTCGATATACAGATGACACGGCAGGTACTTTGCTTAAATTTATCGACACACCCCTGGTTTAGTTGTTTAGTTCAGTAACTTATTTAACTTTACGAAAAGACGAATTGCTACACTTCATCCTTCATGATCAATGCGTGCTAACTCTTGATACAGTACAACCCTCATATTATAAGTATGCCTTTTAGTAGACTAATAAATTAGTTACTCATGCTCATTAGTTCGAACTTTATGGAAAATAAATTATACTAATACTACCATCAGCTTGCATAAATTCCTCACTGTTAATTATTTTATTTTAATTGACAGTTAGCCCGAAATAGTTTTTTGAAGCAGGAACGCGTTATAGGATTTGGTGATTGTTTAATCAGATCACTGAAATGTGACGTCACACAATACTAAATACTAAACCAAATTAGGTATTAATAAGATTTTTTTAATTCACGGCTTGATCGACTTTTATCAGCGCAATATATTAGATCATGGTACGTTTCTTTCTCTTCCTATGATAGAGTAACGTATGTGCCTTCAACCAGACTGCCGAATGATACATAAACTTGTTTCATGACTCTATAGACAACAATAGCCACAACCTCCGAGATCAAAGACCTCACAAAAATTGAGCGCATAGGCAAGTTGCTCTCGCAATTAATCACCTCGTCTAATTCAATTAATTTTCTAATTCGCTTTAAAAAAAATTCAACAGGTGCTCATTCCCATGTCCGCGGTCTTGGCCTTGACAGTAACCTTGAACCAAGACAAAACTCAGAGGGTCTGGTTGGGCAAATACGAGCCCGTAAGGCAGCAGGTGTGATCTGCCAAATGATTAAAGATGGCCGAATTGCTGGACGTGCTGTCCTTATGGCCGGTCCACCCGGAACAGGAAAAACGGCTATTGCTATGGGTTAGTTTATATACTGAGGGTTTTAGCACAGTTATACAAGGGCAAGAATTGGAAGACTGATTCGATTGCTGGGTTTTTTGAATAGGAATGGCACAAACTCTGGGAAAGGACATTCCGTTTAATTCTTTAGCAGCATCCGAAATATTTTCGCTGGAAATGTCGAAAACGGAGGCTCTTACTCAAGCGTTTCGACGGTCAATTACTGTAAGAATCAAAGAAGAGACTGAAATAATCGAAGGAGAAGTAGTCGAGATACAAATTGACCGATCGGTTACTGGGGTATGATATCGTTAAACAGACATATTTATGCGTTAGTTACGCTTGTTGTTGTTACTATTACGAGAGCGGTTAATTGATGTGGATGTTAACAGGGTACAAAAACGGGGAAGCTGACACTAAAGACAACGGATATGGAGACGGTGTACGACTTAGGAAACAAAATGATTGATGCTTTGAATCAGGAGAAAGTTATGGCAGGGTAACGAATAATTCTTTAACGCGGGTTTATTTTCATTTGACTTGATTACGACCGTTAACGATTATCGTGTTGTTAATTTCCTAGGGATGTAATAGCTATTGACAAAACATCGGGGAAAATTTCAAAACTCGGCCGTTCTTTTGCAAGAGCAAGAGACTATGATGCTATGGGAGCTGATGTATGCATTCTAATTATGATTTGGGTCTGGGGGGTTCTCCTTGTTCGTTCTTGGCTTTCATTGATTGCATGAAGCCCCCTTCTTTCTTTTAACATCAGACTAGATTTGTGCAATGCCCAGAAGGTGAATTACAGCGTCGTCGAGAAGTAGTACACACTGTAACATTACACGAAATTGATGTAATTAATAGTCGTTCTCAAGGATTTCTGGCTCTATTTTCTGGTATGAAAGCATTAATATACTACCATTGTTGTTTATACGTTTGTCTCAGAATGCATTATTTTTGCGCTAACTCTTAATATGTAATTAGGTGATACTGGTGAAATTAAACCCGAAATTAGAGAACAGATAAACACTAAAATATCTGAATGGCGAGAGGAAGGAAAAGCCGAGATAATTCCAGGAGTACGTAAAAAAGATATACTTGTATCAGCATACAAATTTTGTGATAAGCTTGTTTCTAACTCTTATAAGCTTTGCTAAAATAATTAGGTTCTGTTTATTGACGAAGTTCATATGCTTGATATTGAATGCTTCTCATTCTTAAATAGAGCACTGGAGGATGAGCGTGCCCCTGTTGTCATTATGGCTTCAAATCGTGGAATAACAAGAATCCGTGGTACCAAATACAAGAGTCCTCATGGAATTCCGATAGATTTATTAGATAGATTACTGATTATTGGTACAGAGCCATACAATGAAAGTGAGATTCAACAGATATTGACTATTCGGTGAGTTTGGATTCAAAACGCCGAACGGACTGGCATCAACGTTACTAAGCAATTTTACATGATTTAATTATCAGATGTGAAGAAGAAGATGTTGACCTGAATAATGACGCGCGTGATGCTTTGACAAGTATAGCACTAAAAACATCGCTACGTTATGCCATTCAATTAATTACTACAGCGAATCTCGTTGCTAAAAAGAGAAAGGTAAAACAACTCTCTTGTGACGATCATGTTATCGGCCCCATATTGAATATGTACTGACCTGTATCTTATATCTCCTAGGCAACTCAAGTAGACGTTAATGACATACGCCGCGTCTACGAACTTTTCTTGGATGAGCAACGTTCTGTTCAGTACTTGCACAAACACCAAGAGCAGTATATGTTTAATGAAATCATAACAGAGCCCGATAGCACAAGGGAAGAAGAAGCGGATGGAGGTGAAGCAGGAGATCCCATGGAGACCTAGGATAAATGTTGCATGGTATAAATAAGTATAGTATAGACGAAGTTGACCAATAAAAACGTGTGTCTGTATTTGTCTGTCAACAATCCGATTGTCCCGTTAGTCATAAGGAGTCCCTACTCATAAGATTGAGTACACGTATGATTATATCATTGCAATTCTCTTGTATCGAATCTCATGCAATGTCGTGATGTTGCAATGAATTTTAACGATTCAACAACTCTACAATAATGAAAAAGAAAATACAATAATTTATTGAATCCAACTTCCATTGATTGAACTTTTATGAAATAAATCAATTCACCAAAAGGATCTTATCAGGATGCCTTGTCTTTTCACATTACATTGATGACTACATTTATCAACCTTGCATTTATTTATCGTCACTCTTTTTTGTCTGCTTCCGCCTGGGGGCCTCCCCATTTATCATAGAGCTCTTTAACTGCATCTACGAACAGCTGATTCCCAATTAATGTTTGTAATCGATGTTCATCATCAACTTCAATCAATTTCACGAGTTCCGGATCGCCTTTTCCCGCAAGTATTCGGCTGCCCTTAATATCGACGACAGAATCCTTAGTACCCTGTAGAAATAAAAATGTAATCTATTGACAAAAAATACATTGCAAAAACAGTAGTCAAATCCATCAGGATATATTGAAACTGTACATGGATAAATGTGATTGGGATGTTTCTTGGAAGCCACATTTTTTCTGAATCATTCTGAGCATACATGGCAAATGCTTGTGCTAACAGCAAGGTTGGTCCAATCCATGTACCCTCTTGGAGCATAGTGACTGCTATTGCACCACCTTGAAGTTTTTTGATTGTGGAGAATCCATCAATTATAAAATTATCAATTTACAGTTCAATCAACGCATTCCCTACCATATGAGCTTCCAACAACCACGTCCGGTTTAAAAGTTTGCACAGTCTCTTCTTGTAATCTTACATCTGCCTCAAAGTCCTCTGTTGGCTACCAATCGTAGGGGATCATTAGACAAGCTGTCTAGTCTGTTGGACAAAAATCATGGATAAATTAATGTTACCATATCAACACCGCGCACGTTAAAATGCTCTCCAAGGAAACGGCATTTATCCGCTAGTGAGGAACTATATGAAAGAGAAAAAGAGTCAGACGTCTTATAATTCCTCCACGAGTCGGTCGATAATTAATAAAACCTGTTGCGACCATGGATGTATAAGACTTTTAAAGCATTCATTATTCAAATCTCAATGAAGCAAGTTCAAAGATCGAAATATAATATAGTGGAGTCACGTGAAACAAATATTAAAAACCAAAAAAACGGAGTTGAACTTGTGTTGCCTTCCCCATTTAATACTTGTATTTCCTTTCCTATTGATAGAAAATATAATAGGCTTTTCCAATTCCTGTTTTGCTCGTAAGGATGTGATGTTTATCTGCTCTAAAATAAGTGCAGTTTAGTCGCACGAGAGATTATTCTATTCAAAACAGTCGCGATAAATTGAAATGCTTTGTGGCTTATTTATGACATGTAGTACGCGCTAACTCAAGGTATACAACCGTCCGCGTTATTATCATTTTTGTTTATTGCATAC